GTCTGTGTCAGGTCTGTCTCTCGTAATTCAGTGGTGTGGTGTGCAATGTATTCAGTGCTCTGACACAGAGGTAGATGATCAATAAAAGTTGTTAAAAGAATGATTTTTTTTCTGAATGACAGCCAGAAGTGTGGAAAGCAAAGCGGTGCTTGTTCTCCTACCCATCCTTACTTGACGAATAGACTTCATGGGTCAGCTAGCTAGGGAATAATGCATGCTGTCAGATGGACCAATTAAAGACTAAATTCTGCTTTGATGCAAGCATAAATAGGGTGCAAATTTGTGAAAGGGAATGCATTTACACCACGAGTACTTTCAAAGTGATTGAAGTAATGATTTAATTCATTAACAGCAGATTTATCTGGAAGCTTTTTGTGTCTAATCCCCTTGTGCTTAGTGCCATGGACTGGAAGGGCCTTGTCTTGACCCCTGTGGGCTTCGGGTGAGGATCAGAACGATGATTATTTTGCTCCGTGGAGGAGTTGGCCCAGTTGGCTGGGCACTGATCTGCCTGCCGTTCCACTGGAGCCAAGAATTGAGTGTGCAGCTATCACCCTGCAGCAGGTGTGCAGCGCAGTGAACAACCTGTGCTTTGTGCGTAGCCTTCTCTCTGTCTGAAGTGCCATTGCCCTGGGAAGAACACTTCCCTAGAAGCTTCTTTTGATTTATGCTTCAACTACATGTAAGTGTTTAAAAATGCTAAAAAGGCTGTTAATTTTGATTTGCAGTTTGGATTTGCCTTGTCTTTGAACAATGCAGACAGCAGAGCTGCTTAGAGTGACTTGCAAGATGAATACTGGCCTCTCCAGAGGTAGAAAAGACAGAGACTGACTCTGTCCCTTGTGTCTGGCTGGACACACGTGATACCTGTAACACAGCTGGGAATGTGTAAGGTTTCAGGGAACGAAGAGAACAAAAGTTCTGTAAGTTCTAAGCGTGCTCCATGTGTCCTTGCTGTGCTGTTAAAATCCGGTCAGGACCCACTGAGGAGGCATGCCGGCCTTCTGCTGTCCCCCTCCGCCTGCTCTGCCAGCACTGACAGGGCAGCACAAGCTGAACATTTCTGCAGTTACCTGATGTGGCACTTGTGCTGTGCGTATTTCTTTCATCTTGCATGTTTCTTTTGCAGTTTCCAAGGCAAGGCTTACAACAGACGCAGCAGCAACAACAGACAGCGGCGCTGGTCAGGCAGCTCCAGAAGCAGCTCTCTAGTAAGCATGTGTGTGCACAGCTGTACATAAATATAGATGTATATTTGAGTATGGAATTCTCTTTCTGGAGATGTTCTGCCTATTTAAATACTGCCATATATACATATAAGTAATTTTCCTGCTGACAACTGGTTACCTAACCCAGTAGTGATGCAGTACCAAAGTTCTGGTGCTAGTGTCCCCCACGGATTTCTGTTGGTCTCCAGAGAAGCCCAAGGCACCCACAGGACTGGAGCTGGTGGCCCAGTTACAGTTTGCTGTGTGTTTTCTCCCCTCACTTCTTTAGTCCTACCGCAGGCAAAGTCCCCGAGGAAATCAGCACCTCTTGCATGCGCTAGGTATATAAGGGAATGTATTGACTGTTGCTTGCTACCACTGCATGAAATACAGGTATTATTCTGTATTTCTGTAGAGTACAGTCACGAGGCACAAACACTTCCCTTTGCTTTATCAACCAGGTAACCAGCCACAACAAGGAGTGAACCAGTACGGGCATCCTTCACACTTCTGAATCAGAGATGGAAGGGAGGCGTCATGTTACGTTTGCACTGAAGAACAGAACATTCAAAATTCAATGCACTAGTTATTGCTAGAAAGCAGTCTTTAATTTTCTTATTATTTCAATAATTATTTTTTGTGCTGCAGTTGATGTGAGTATGTAACAAGGTGGGTTTTTTGGGTTTGGGGATTTTTTTTTGCATTTAACTAGATTTAAATGTATGGACTTGTGGGCCTATTTGAAGAATGTTATTGCAGATTTTATGAATTTGGTGCTTTTTAGGTCCTGTTACTTTTAAAGGGGACAAAGAATGCTGGATTTATTTATTTGTGGGAAACACTTCTTTTGTTTTTTTTATTCTTGTTTCTGTTTTTTGTTGGTTTGTGTTGGTTTTTTTTGAAGAACTGCACTGGACCAAACTACTGAACTGAAAGGCACTTCCGATTTTGGCATAGAAGTTAATTTGTTCATTAAAATGTTCACCTCTTTCTTTCTTGGTAGAACGAGCATCAATTTAAATTGTGTTTATTTGACTGCAATTTTCATATGCACTTTATAAAGTTCTTTGTTTAACGTACCAATTTTCTCTTGCTCTTATTGTGGTAAGAAGGTGCTGAAGTGGGTTTATTGCTTGTATTAGAACTTCTTAAAGTTTATATTAAAAGCCACAATGTAATGTTAATAAACCTACTAGAAGTAGCAGTGTTTCATATTTGGTCTTTTTAATATAAAGCTCACTGGTGATCAATTCTAATGGAGTGCACGATACAGTAACAAGGATTGAACGGTCAAGGCGGGTTTTGCTCTGCTCGCGTAGGGAAATCTCTGGGTCCTGGTAGAGCCTCCCAGGAAACGAATCTCCATGTCTCACTTGATGCCTTCACTAACAGATCTTGTACCAGCTTTCACAAAGTGAGGGTGGAAAAGCCACTAAAGTCCTTTCTGTGGTTCCAGCGGTTCTGTAGCTGACAGCTCGTCATACTGAAGCCACCTGAAGTGAGTTATTCCTGTTACCTGTGTCTGCTGCCAATGTTGTATGGTAAGTATTTAAAATTCCAGGTTTGAGTCTTGATTGCTGGGTGAGTTTCAGTGGTGTAAGGCATTATGTATTATTGACTGAGTGCAAAACCACAAGTAAATGATAAATCAAAATTGCCACAAACAAATCGTTATTATTCAGACCTGTACAAATGCATCATAATTTTGCTTGTATTAGAGTTGAAAAAAACAGAATAAATTTATTACTATTTTATGTAGTTTAGGAGTTAGTCTATATGTTTGGGGTTTTTTTTAAATCCATTAATTTTGAAAGTGGAACATGCAGGGCATTTAAAATATACATAGGAATGTTTTTCCCCTGTTTTGTATTAACTCAATTTGCTTAATTTACCATACAAAGAGTTTATAGGTGGTATCCTAGTCAGGTGTTCTGTGGGGAAGGGGGAAGACTGCCCTGCGCAAGCTTCAGAGGGCTTGGGAGGCAGTACAGCCAGCTAATGAAATAATACTCGCTACATGGAAATCTGTAGAAAAGTAGATTTTTGATTGGCTTTTACAATAGTCAGGTAAGTCTTACTCATGTTAAAATTATTTCTGTTCAGGATTTTTTAAGGAGATTGACTGTTCTTCATAGTAGCTAAAGCTATTACAGATATTAACCAGTGAGATTCATGTAATCCAACCACTTTGTGGCTACAACTCCATCAGCACTGTGGAAGGAGAGAACAAGTGCACAGCAAACTGTATGTGGTTGATGTCAGGAAGTGATCAAACCAGCACAAAAGCAATCCAAGCTGAGGTTATAGTCTTCAATAAAAAAAATATTTAAAATTCCCCAGGTTGATTGTGATGTGGTTAAATAAGGTAGAATCTGCATTTAGCTCTTGGCACTCGAATACTTTCTCACTGACGAGCATCTTGTGTGCTAATCAGCTGCTGCTGAGAGATGTTACTGCATGTAGTTCAGGTGCTGCTGTCACATCAGGACTGAGGAGGTTCACTGTGGTATCTTACAGGCCCAAAAGAGACGTGTTGCCGTTCTTGGATTTTTTTATTATTTTAGATGATGTAAAGAGCAGGATTGTTCATGAGGCAGGGGACGGTTACACTGAACCCTTCATACATCCGTCAGACTTTCTGTAATGGACGAGGAGACCGCTCCCTTCCAACAGCCCTGGCTTCAGCCATGCCGTCTCTGGTCCGCTCCAGCGGCATCAGGCAGTGCTGGGCGCTGCGGCTGCGGGACAAGCTGGGACTGTAGGGACAGCGCCATTTCTTCCAGGAGACAGATAGGTCCCCAGTTTCCAAATTTAAGGGGAAAGGCTGCATTGCATGTATTTTGACCCCTCAGTCCTGACATTAATCTCTCTCTTAGGAAGAAAATGAGAAACGCTGAGCTTTAGTTACTGGCTTAGTCGTCTAAAGATTTATTTGACCAGTCCAATCTGTGATTCATTACTGTAAAATGTGTGGGTAACCACTTCCTACCATTGTGAAGGCATTTTTCCCTTATGTACAGAAGGTTGCTTCTTAGACCCATCTGCTGAATTGAGAAATCAGAATTCTAAATTTATATGCAAATTGAGACAATTGTTTTCTAGTGAGAAGTCTTTAAAAAATGCTTTTGAGGCGATAAATTATACACACGGTCTGTACACTTTTGCTAAACAGCACTAAACAGAGCTTACTCTCATTTAAAAATGAGAACAAAGTTGTTCTGGATGTTATCATCCCAAAGTTCTGCAAAAAAGACTGTGTGAACAGAGCTGTATTATTAAAAATACTTCACTACTTGTTTCATCATTGAATATTTATTAAAAAAATACTAAATAGTCAAACATATTAAGAAGGTAATCTGCATCACGGTAAAATCTGCTCTTTGGTTCTCAGATACTCTTGCTTTATGTGATCCATGCTCATGATAGTCATACAAAGTGGACAATGTTAAACTAATACGAAGAAGTCTATCCTTTACTGGAGATCTCTAGGTACATTTCCAGAAAGTAATTTTATTTGATACTCTAAATGTTTGCTAGCAGAGCAGAAGTGCCTTAACTTTGTTTTAATTTAAATCCATTTAATCACTGAAAGAACCAATGTTAGGTAATAATGCTAGATCTAATTTTCCCCAAGTTCTTCCTCACTTTTTTTGCATGGTCATTGCAGATTGAATGCTGTAAATGTATTTAGGCACTTAGACGCCTATGGCTGCCTTTGATTAAACTTACTCCAAGAATGAACTCAGTCCAGCTGTAGACTTTGTTAACAGTCATTCATGCTGTATTTCTTGCTCAAATGACGTGAACATATGTTACTGTGAAATCGCTGCCAAGATGGTTCTTCGCTGTGCACTTGTACGCGCCAGAATCTGAGGGTTGGGGATTCTGGATGACTAACGTCCCCAGGGGGTGAAGCAGTTCACTCCCAGGTGCTCGGCTTTGGTGACCTGTAGGGAGTACTGAGCGGTCAGGTAGTTCCCAGGTAATTTCTGGTTTTGGTATTCCCAGTGCTACGCAGTGGAGCTGAAGTGCTGCACCAGGCATCGTGTGTATGGTCTGCGGTGGTCTGTTCGTAATCCTCGGGGGATAGGCTACAATAACAACAGGAACAGTTATGGAGGAGTCTCCGGCGTTGTTGTGGGCCTTGCACACGTAATTTCCTCTGTCGTGAATGGTGGCTTCTCGTATAACCAAAGTACCGTTTTCCAGCAGAATGTATTTCCAGTTGATCTGCGGTCGATCCAGCACATAGCCACCTGGCAGAGTCCACGCTATATTTGGTTTGGGACTCCCATCAGACAGGCAGTGAAGCGATAATGACTCCCCGCTAATGCCCTTCACTGGCCCTGTTGGATGAGTGAGAATATTGGGCTTCTGGCCAACCTCCAAGATGATCAGCTTTTCAATGTAGCCAACTTTGTTCCTAGCAGCACAGCGATACTTTCCTGCTTTGCCTCCATCAGGATTATAGATGGTAAGGGTACCGTTGCTTCCTGTGAGAAACTGGGAAGTCTTGATGCCACTGGAAAACCACGTGCCATTAGGCAACATCCAGCTGATGTCAGGTGGAGGGTTTCCATCCACAGAACAATTCAAGGTGGTGGTTTTCCCAGGCTTGGCTGTTATTTTTTCATTGAATGGATTTTTAAATATTGGTCGCCTTAGCATTTCTAATACCTCCAGCTGCACCACCAACATACTCTCTCCCCCATCATTACGTGCCACACAGATAAACTCTGCTGTGTCAGAAGGCCTTATATTCCGAATCTCAAGTGTCCCATTTTTGTGTACTACAATCCTGCTCCCATAATAGGGAGCTGTTAGGAAAATATTATCAGGCATGATCCACATAATCTGAGGGGGAGGTGTCCCTTCTGCCCTACAGTCAATTTGTTTCTTTGAATGCCTCACGGCCGTCACTTTCATGATTGTTTTGTTCACATATAAACCATTTATGATAGGTGGTTTAGCAACAACATCCAGTTTATACAATTTTGTATCGTCCCCTCCAGGATTACGAGCAACACACATATACTCCCCAGCATCTAACAGTTTGACTTGACTGACTGATAGAGAACCATTGGCATGCAGGAAGTGTCTGGCTGTTGACGAGGAGATCATGTCACTGGAAGGTAGCAACCAGAATATTTTTGGCTTGGGTTCTCCAACAGCTTCACAGTCCAGTAATGCTATACCTCCAGCTTTCACTTTAACGTATGTCTTGTAATTGTGCTTTATCTGAGGGGCTGCCATGATGACTGTGATGCGTATCTTCATTTCATCTCTTCCCAGTGTGTTTTCAGCGTAGCAGGTATAATCTCCTCCTTCTGTTACTCCCACTTTGTTGAGATACAGAGTTCCGTTGTCAAAGAGGACGTATCTGCGAGACCTGTGTCCACTGTCATCTGCCAGCATCGCATTATTGATCACCGTACCATCTGGCAAGCTCCAGGATATTTCTGGTGCGGGTGACCCAGAGGCCTTGCAGTCCACTATGAAATCTTTTCCGTATGGCACCAGTTTCTTGAAATGCTGTTTCTGGTCAATCTTGGCTGGTTTCATTGTGATGCTGACTTTCATCAGTATCAGATCATCTCCAATTTTGTTTCTTGCAACACACAAATAGTCACCTGCATCCTTTTCAGTAACTGCCTCAATAACCAAGGATCCGTTAGGGTAGACATGGATTCGACTTCCCATTCTGTTGGCAGGGGAGGGAGAAAGAGGAAAAGAATTATGGAACAGAATGCTGGAGGTGAATACTGAGCATTGAAAATGACGGACAGTATTAACAGCACGATGTGATACAGAAGTTCTCTCCAAAGGCACTGTGTCCACATCACCCACCTACCCAGTGGGTCATAACTGATGTGTTGCCACTTCTGTTGTTATGTGGATGTGCACGTGCTCGCTGACTCTTATGTCGGTGCACAAAGCTGCCTCTGCCTTGCTGAAAACTGTTCTGTGAACAAATAAGCCTGTTGAACTTTATGTCCCTCATCCCGCCAGCCTCTGCTCCTCTCCCTCGTGCTTCTCCTTGCAGATAACCCGCAGCACTTGCCCCCGGCCAGGGGTAGCTGGCAGTGCTGCTACCTGTTGTCCAGAACAACACTTGGCACCAAGTGATTACTCTCTAGCTGCCTTTCCTGCAGCAGGGCACAGGCCTGGATCTCCCTCCTCAGCCCAGCTGCGAGTTCTCATGAGCCTGCTAGGAACATCCTGATCTGGGACTGTCTCTCCCAAAGTGAAGGTGAAGTGTTACTGGCAGGGGGAGACCCTCAAAGGTAGACTTGGCAGAGACTACCAAAGCCTCTTCCTCCTCAGTTCTACTTCACAAATCTCTTATAACTTTTCCTCCTATAAAATGACAAAATTCAGCCAATGCATGATTAACGTCAGTTTCTTAATTCAAATATGACTTGTATCCATTTTGGTAAGACCTCACCCACTTGTGACAATTGATGTGGTGGGTTAGTAGATGTATAATAACAAGCCATCATCACAGATGTTTCACCACTGTTAAACATTTAAAAGTGTATTTAGTTTACAATGTTTTGTTTCAGTGATGTAACAGTCTCTTATGCAAGCACCAGAGAAGACAGCAGTTTGAAGTTTCAAAGAGGTGGGGGAAAAAAAAAAGACTCCTACCTGTGCCACTGGTCAACAACTGCCTTGGAGGGTAACCTCCAGATGATCCTGGGCTTTGGCTCCCCAGTCGCTGTGCAGTTCAGAAGCAACTTATCCCCAAAATTCAAATGAGTCATTTCTTGAGAGGCGGTAGCTATTTTTGGAAGCGTATCTCTGTGTTCCACCACGAGGCTCACCACCCTCCTTTCCGAGCCAGTCGAGCTTGTGGCTATGCACTCGTAATTCCCGCTGTCAGCAGGGGCAATGTTGCTGAGGTGGAGGGTACCGTTGGAGAACAGGAACAGCTTTGCGTTTACAAACTGCAGAGGTTTCACCACTGTGCCATCAAAGAGGACCCAGTGGACAGTGGGCTGAGGATTCCCTTTCACGGTGCAAGGGAGCTTCAGGTTTTCCCCCATCATTCCTTCAACACGTTGCCTCTTCTCTTCCAGAATAGCGGGAGGTGCCGCAATGACCTGCAGTTTTACAACCAGCGTGTCAGTGCCCGCTGGGTTTTTAGCCATGCACGTGTAGAGGCCCCTGTCATAAACGGTGACTTCCTTGATAATTAGAGTGCCGTCGGGTTCCACGTGAACTTTGTTATTTCCTGCAGAAGAGTTGGAGATGTGTGTTTTATTTGCTAGAACCCACGAGATGGTGGGAGGAGGCCTGCCCTCAGCTTTGCACTTCACTGCCACGGGCTTTCCGGAGTGAGCGGTGAGGAGCTGCCACCTTCCACCAGTGATGCGGGGCGGGTAGGCCACTACCGACAAGGTGACCAGGAGCCGTGCCGTGCCATGCAGGTTGGCTGCGGTGCACAGGTACTGCCCACGGTCCTCCAGGCTTGCCCGGGCGATGGAGAGCGTGCCGTTGGCAAACACCATCCATCTGCTGTCACCTCGGCCTCCTAGAGCATCGGTCCCTACAGAAGCAAGGGGACAACAGCACAGCACGTCAGAATCTCTCTCTTCTGTTTCTTTTTACTCAGGCCCTGAAAACACTTTCCCTATCCTGATCTACTTTGCCCAAATAACCAAGACGCTAGTGGTAAGAAAGAGAGAAATAACAGTATTTTGCATATACAGTGACAAAACTTTAAAGTAAAAACAAAGCTTAGTCCTCACTAGAGACAAAGTTTGGATAAAGCAGATGGGGCTTCGCATATTCAGAAATATTTTGGCATAGCTTTGATTTGATGGTTTGTTACCACAGACAGATTTTTCTTTTCACTCATCTTTTCACCTGAAATAGCAGGTAACATACAATAAATATTGAAATCTTCCCACAATAAGCACAGAATTATAGTTAAATATAGATCATGTATTTCTTTTTTTTATTATTTCCCTAGAGAACTGTTTCATAATTAGCAGTAAGACACTCCAAGTGTGCTGGGATATCTTTCTTTTTCACTGTTTCCAAGCTCAGCTTTTCACTGATATTTCACGGTACTCTTAAATGAAGCAATACTTGAGTTTGGCACACAAAACATCTGCCAAATGACAAGACTATAATGGAAGGTAAATTCTAAAGAGGTTTATCAAGCTTACCTGACAATATCTTGGTCCACTGTATTGTTGGACGAGGGTTACCAGTAGCTTCACAAGGAATAAAAGCATCTGAATTAGCTAGCACGGTAAAAGCAGCTAATTTTCCTCCAGTTATTCTGGGCTTTGCAAAATGATTTCTACTTAAAGACTCCAAGGCTACAGGATTGGTGGTGATAGTTTCTTGACCTTGTCTCTTTTCAGACCAGCCTTTGACAGAACCGTCCTTGTCCCTTCCCCACAGAGGAGCACGCAGAGTCACCATCTGTGATGACTTCAGTGTGGTCAGTGTATTGACAGTTAATGTGTTGCCTCTCTCTGTGACTTCAGCAAAGGGCTTCTGCCAGAATTTGATTCCTGCCCCCAGAGGCGAGGTGGTTCTCGCAGTACGTGCAGGTGGCACGGCTGCTGTTGGGGCTGGCAGTGGGGTGGGATGCTGAGCGCTGCGAGGAGCGATGTCTGTGTTTGCAGCAGGAGCACTTGACTCGGTTCTGGCTAGGACTGTGGGCTGGGCTACGTGGTTTTCTTGGATAACCCTCTGTTCCATTTTCAGGCGTGAGTTTTCACCTGCCGTTGCGGTGGTGGCTTTGGTTTGCTGAGCCAGTTCTGACCCAGACGTTGCACAGACTGTGGCAGGTCGTGCGCTTGTGGTGCTGGAAGGTTGGATTGGCATGGTGGGGCTCTGAGCAGTATGACTGCCGGGTGGTAACGTGGCTGACTGGATGTTCCTCCGTGTGACAGGGGTCACTGATGTCTGCATGGCTGCTGTGGGCACGTGCTGAGGTACCGCTGGTGCGTTAAGGATCCACAGTGTTGGCACTTCTGTCACCGAGACTGCGCTTGCACTCTCAGAGAGAGGTTTTGCAGGCATAAAACTTGTAGGCGTAGTTCCCGATTGAACTGTTGTCATGACAGGCGTGGCTGTATTCACTGAGGGAATCGCTGCAGTGCTGCGGCCGGCAGTCAGGCTTTGTGAAGTAGATGTTTTAGGGGGCCTCTTCCTCCTCTGACTTCTCTTTCTTCCCACTCTGAATATTTTACTTTTGGTGTCACTTTGAGGAGTACTAATAGGTGTAACTGTTGGCTTCAGACTTGTTACATCCATTTCTTCGGTTGCGCTAGTTGCAAGATTAGAGTAAGAATGCGGTTTTGCAGTGGGAAGATGTTCTTCTGACTTACCATTGCCATAATGAATGGGTTGGTTTAAAGACAGGAAACCACTGCTGTGATTCCCGCCTGTTGAAATAGGTGTACAGTGCAAAGGAGATATTTTGGACGTAGATAATGGTGCCATAGTTTTAGGAAGCATGGACAATACCTCTGTTGATGGAAATCTATCTGTCCATTGTTTTGGTAGCTTCTTCAGAACCACTTTTTGTGTACCATTTCCAAAGAGATGTTCCCAAGTAATTTTTCCTCTTTGGGAATTTTTTGGTGAGGTTCTAGGCTTAATGCTGGGTGAGACTGATTCAAGGGTGGAAGATGTGTCAGTGCTTGTGGTATGTGTAATTTCTGTAGCAATATGAGCTGTGTGGATTCCCATTGTTGGTAGTCTGATGCTAAAAGGTTGGATATCAGCATTTGTCTGAAATGGAGCACTGCTCTCTAATTTCCATTGAGGATTATCTTGGGTGCCCCTTGTAATGAAAGGCGTGACTGTTGTCGTAGCTTTTTGCCTTGCACTAGGTTCACTTTCCTCTTCCCTGAGGAATGCTGTCTTTTGATGAGTACCCACTGGGTGCTCCAATGGCATATTCATGGTAGAGGGGGAGGACAGAGGTGCTTCTGGGCTAAGTACGTTGATGGAGCTGCTTGAATTATTTAAGGTTGGTAAATTTGATACATATTTCATATTCAGTTGAACATCTGCAGTTACAGTCGTACTTCCTCTGACAGATCCTGGCCTCCCAAAACTGTATCTGTGCTCTTTCATACTTGGAATACGTCCTGGTCTAACAATTTGTCTCCTACCAGAAATTTTCCTTCGTCTTCCATATTGCTGCTGGGCCTGGGGTGTGTGAGTTGTAATGTCCTGAATAATCTGAATTTGCTGATGAGTAATGATAGTTGAGGCCAATGGTGGCTTAGGAGTTACTTGTTTCCGAGTACTATGAAAATAAATGTGACCAAATTCAGGACTTGGTTCACTGACAGTCACTACAGATATCTGGTGATCTGTTTTGGTGGAAATCTTATCAATAGACTCAGTAAAAACATGTAGCTTGTCCATTGCATTTTGGGAAGTTACAGACTTGCTGGGTGTCGTAGATACAGATTTTAAATGCTGGTTATTACTTTGCCCAGAATATACTGACCTTAGCCCAGTAGGGAAGAGTGTAGATGTTCTGCTTGCTCCATTTGATATAGCTGATTGTTTAATACCATTTGCTGATATTTGACTTAAATCAGATCTTTCCCATGAGTTTGTAGGTGTTAGATATGTTTGTGGCCTTCTGCTGTCAGATGACACAGACTGTGAGAAAGGAGAGGGTAGGGGAGTTACTGCCTCTGCAACCAGGAGAGAGGTTGTCCTAGCAGGAGTTTTACTTGCAGTTGTCTCAGGCCCTGCAGTTATCACGCTTTCCATTGCCCTCCCCAGAGTAGATACAGTGGCTGTCTCTGTTAGTGGCATCGTGAATTCTTCTTCTGGAGATACAAGATCACCAGATGTTTCCTCCTCATGCTCAGGTACTTCTGAGAACTTTTGGACTTGAATAGGTGGTTTTGTTGCAACTTCTCCTCGTTTTTCTATCAACATTGAGTTCCTCTTTGTTTTTTCCAACAAGGCTGCCCAGCGCTGTGGATCGACTCTCCTGGCTGAGGAAACAAACTGTCTTCTGTGTCCTCGAAACTGCCTGCTTATTTTGTCCCTGTAGTGCCTGTAAGTCATCTTCCCGTAGCTGTTCCTTTTGTGTGCACTCTGCGCGACCCGATTTCTGGATGCCAAGGCAGCAGATTCCTGATTAGCTGTCAGGGTAGCCAGAGTAGCTAAAGACTGTTTCTGTGTTGTAGCAGAGGCCAGCATTGCATTACCAGAGCCATCACCCTCTTCCCATTCTCCCACATCTACATGCTTTTTCTTTAGAGTGGTTTTATCCTTTCTAACTAGCACTTGGAAAACCAAAAGATCAACACCATACTGGTTGGCTGCAACACATTGAAAGTAGCCACTGTCTCGCTCTGTTACTCCTTGTATTCTCAAGGTACCATTGTCAAAAATATGTTTGTTTCTTACAGAATGATGAAGAATTGCATGCTCAGGTAACACCCAACTAATGGCAGCATCTGGAACAGCAGTGGATGTACAGGGAAGGTAAAGTGTGCTGCCAACAAACGTAGAACGTTGGGCTCCATTTACACTGTTGTGTTCCACGTAGGGATCGACCACAGTAATCCTAAATGTGAGAGTATCTGCATCGTTGTAATTTGTGCCTATGCAGTGGTAAAGCCCAGTGTCAAAAGTATCAGCTGTCCGTAACGTGAATGTTCCAGTTTTAACTACTATGATTCTTCCATCCTCACTGATATAAGGAGCTCTAACTTTGCTCCCATCAGCCAATATCCACTCTATTGCAGGAGCTGGTTCTCCAATTGCTTGGCACTCTAGTTCTACGGTCCCTCCGACTAAAACAGTGTGCTCCATCTGCATTTTGTTGTCCCTGGAGATGATGGTCCAGTTATTTCTCACCTGTTTTTTGTCAGTACTGGGCAAAATAATCTGAGCATCCGTAAAGTACTGGATGTGCAATGTGTTAAGTGTGGTTGCTGTCCTGTCTAGCTGTAATGCCACTTTGCTTTGCATTAACCACGATGGTTCAGCTCTCAGTTCAGTCTCTATATTGGTAAAAAGTTCATCTTTTTCAGAGTAGATTTGTTTATATTTGTAACTAATAAAAGGCACATTAGTTGCTAGGACATTCCTTTCCAGTTTTAAGGGGGAATTACTGTACAGTGCCAGTATACTCCATAGCTGCTGAATATGTTCATAATCAATGCCACACACAAGAAATGCTGAGAATGATGTTTTGAGTACTGTACTGTTGCCATCTTTGTCGAATGAGATGGGAGACATTTCTTTAGGTTTTTGGATGGTGCAAACCAAGTTACCTCGACTTCCTGCTTGGTCAGTCATGTTCAAAACCATGGATCCTATAGGAGCTATGAAGTCCTTGGGAGATATGGAACTGAAATCCCCATCATCTGGCACTGTGAGGTTTTTAAATTTGAGGGAGTCATGTATGGCTGGCTTAGTGCAGGTTAAAGATGCAGAAGGAATATCCAGTAAGCTTTTCCCGTTACGATTTTTGGGACTAGCACAAACTGGGCATTGCTGACCACCAGAACTTCTGTCTTTTTTGCACTTTATAATATCTGAAGGGAAGAAAAATGCAGTAAGCTTTTGTGATACAATTTTTAGTATTAAAAAGGACATATAGCTACCAGCAAGTTGTCTCTTGAATAAAATATTAACAAAGTTTATCTTAAAGTAACCTATGAAAAGCTAAATTAACCTAAGAAAAACTATGAATTTTCTCTGATGAAGCCGCTCAAGGACTGTTGCAGCTCAGTGTGGTGCCCTTCCATCCCAGTGGTTTTACACCGTGCCAGGAGGGCGCTGCTGTGGTACATGGCCTTAGCTTTGTTCTGAGACACAGGCTCTAGCAATTTGGGGCTAACATTACGCTATCATGTGCAACCTCTACTCAGGGCAGCAACAGAGAAAGTCCTCAAGTCCTGTTCCTTATTTCTTTTTCAAAGAATCGAGTACAATGTGGCCTTCGCTCTTGGCAGTTACATAAAAATTAGCTTCCTTGTTCCCTGTGGATTCTCCTGGGGCACAGAAGCTTCAGACTGGCCAAGGAAAACGTTCTGTTAAGGGAAGCTTAACAGCTTGGGAATGGGTTAAGACCTCTAGATTAATTTAATCTGGGAAAACTGAATGGTATTAATCTGTTTATCCCAATTACATGCACCTACAAACCCCCTGTCTTCCAGTCTTTTCTGGGATAATAAATAAATAAATAAAGGACAATTACCTTTATCAGAAAGAATGAGATGCTATAACTTGATTAAAAAGCATAAACAAAGCCTTCGGCTCACCTGGTCTCTCTTTTGCCCATTCTGCAAACCACTGTAGATTGCAATCACAGGACCATGGGTTTCCATGAAGGTAAATGCTCTCCAGCTCAGACATGTAGGAAAACAGTTCTTGTGGTAGTGAAGTCAACACGTTGTCAGACAAATATATGTGCTTCACGAAGGATATTTTAAATATTTGGCTATAGCGCAAGGTGACAAAAGTATCTGGATGAAGCTGCTTAAGTAGATTTCCTTCCAAGTGGACCAACCTCAGTGATGTGAGTCCATAGAAAACATTGGGATTTACAAATTCAATTTTATTGTGGTCCATATGCAACCGTACCAAGCTCTTCAGACCATAAAAAACATCCTGCTGAAGTACTCTGACCTTGTTATAACTCATTTTTAAGACCTGTTGATGAAAAAGTAACAAGTGTATAATATTAACCCATGTTATATTGTTATAAGACTCCTAACAAATTTTGATTGATGGTTACTCTGTGAAGTGAAGGTACTTCACCAGATCAGTAATGCAAGTGATTGGAAAAACACTTAGTAGGAGGAATTATTTTTAAATGCAATGCTAGTTGCAGGACTACAAGGATGCTTTCTTGTTCCAACAGTCCATCAGGGTGACGCTTCTGCAGTCACATTTACAAAACGCAGTGATTAAAAATAAAATAAAGCAATGCTTATTTCTCACTCAAAAAAAATCTCAAGTAAACCACACTTATGAAAAGGGTAAGCAGAATTTGACCATAAATTGTGGTAGTGATTTTTGTTCCAGCCAGTGTTACCACTATAAAAATGCATGCAACAGTCTATTTTGTTTGATGTTTAACCAACAGAACTGCTAAGTGTGTTCCCAGTTTCAGGATTTGGGTCATGTGAGATGCGTACTTGCCAAACCTCAACTTTCAGGTGCCATTTTGTTGCTGACAGGTTAAAAGTCAAATTCGTAACTATGAGATGAACAAATGTGGCATATTGCTAAAGTATTAAATATGGTACCCAAGACACCCTTTTTGTTGTTACTTTTCCTGTTAGAATTATACTGTTATGGTCATGAATTCTGTATTTTGAATATTAATGAGGAAAAACAGTACAAAACCATGATAACATGCAAGTTTATTTTATTTGCCAAATATAATTCCATTAAAACTATCTGTATGTGTTGCCATCCTGCTTGTTGATAAGGGAGGAAAAGCCTATAGGACTCCATAAAGCTTATTTTATTAAGTCGGTTGCAAGGAGTTAACAAGCAAGCTTTCAGGCACAGAACTACCCTTTATGAGGGTTAATGAAACCTGAAGATCTGTATGCTCCAAAGCTTGTCTGGTTTTTGCCCCCCGCCCCCCCCCCCCCCCCCCAATCCTCTAAAACCAGCAACTGAGCCAATGCCATGTTTTCTGTCTGAACAGTTCAGGTTTCTCATGTTCTTAGTTCATCACAGCTACATTATTATTTCTCTGTAGCAGTTAATAACAGCTCTAGGTGGAAATTTAACTGGAGAATAAGTGTTACCTGTACATCAAATTACTTGGGAATGGTCGTTCCTAAATAATCATATAAGTACTTCTTTATGTATTGAATATCTGCATGGCACAGTGAGATACGGAGATAGCTCCAGAATCCCTGTATGACACTGTACATTTACTATGTAAATAATAGTATAATACTTTTTACAATGTATGTAAATATATGTAGTATTTTATAAATAGGTAATATTTCAGTTAAAGAACAAAACAGGCATCAAACACTACATTTTAAAATTCCACAAATATATATAAAATTATAAAACCGAGGAACTGTAGGTTTTTTAAAGCATTAAAATGTTTATATGTAACATGTTCAGTTTCTGTTCAGTAGGAGCATTTTTTTAATGAAGGATAGAAAGAGACAGGACTATACTGTACTGAAGGGAAAGGCAAATCTGGATGAAAAACAATCCTCAAAAAAACCCCCCAGGAATTGACTAACAAATTAACTGAAGACAAGTTTCCTACCACATATGCAGTACTTGGAGCTCTGCAGTCTTTCTCTCTCGTGTGAAAGAGAGTTTCAACTGCAGTTGCCCGTTAAGATATTGCTGACAGATATCTACCAATATGTTCATCATGCTCTTTAACCTGTACCTGAATGCCCACCTGTGAAGGAAAGACATTTCCCATTAGGATACTGGATCTTGAAGGCCCTTGTCTTTCACGTGGATACAATAAGAAACGGGAAACCAAAATGCTACAGACCACTGGTCTGCTTCCATTTATCAGTGTTACTGCAGATTGCTTAAAAGTCATAACAAAAATTAAGATTAGGTCATCTCCTAATTAAGATTAGGTCACTTAGTTCTTACCTGTAATGAACATAAATCACTGAACACCTTATCAGGGATTGTATTTATCTCATTGCTGTGCAGCATCAGTAACTCCAGTTTCTCCAGGCCAGAAAAATCTGTTTCCGTCAGTTTAAGCAAGCTGTTGTAACTGTAACAAACATTTCATCCCAGACCTGGGTTTAGTCAGACAGCTAAACTTCACAAGTTTTAAAACAAACAAAGAAAACCAAAACAAAAGAACAACTCTCTGGAAATGCATAAAGGTAGATAGCACTTCTGGTTGCTAAGACGAAATTTTAAGTCATTCCTTCACATTAGCCCCAAATTTAGTAACTTTTTCAGGGCGGCCTTTTGAAGACTGTATTCACAGTGGATAGGGAAAGTAACTGCAAAAATGTGCAGACAAGAATGCCAGTTTTGGGCTTCAGTGCAGAAGAGCAAGGAGCTCCTGTAATGGCAGAGGTTGGTGATACGTTGCTGCCTCTTTCCATCGAGGGCTTTCCCGACACTGCAGTATCACAGAGGGTCCATGAACAAAAGAGCCTCCTTTGCTGCCCACTGAGAACTAGGTAAAACCAAGGGTACTGGGGTGAGCCCTTCCTCCTGGGACCTGAACGACGACGGCTGTGCCTAGCCTATGGTGCAGGTGGGTTCTGCAGAGTGTCTTGCAGTCCCTCCCTGGTCCTTGGCTGGACTATGCTGTCCGCCCTTTCCAGTTGTACCTCTTGAGTTTTAGTTCCACTCCACAGGTGTTCAATGGTGCACACTACTTGTTAATGCAGACGTAGCCTCAGCCTCCCCTGATTTCCATGAGCATACATACAGTATGGATAGTCTAGGCTGGATTTAAACAGGGAACCAAAAATGAAAGAGAGTGCCCTTTACATGACAGCTGCACTGCTCTAGGAGGTTTGACCATCGGTCATCTCTTAAGTCTATCCAGCGCAGGTATTGACAGTGGCGATGCTACGCTATCCCAGAATTAGCAGGTGGTGTGTAAGCCTCGCAAACACTGAGTACCTACTCTGCGATGCCTTTGACTTCATGACTACTATCACACTTGCATGACCTGATTAGCTAATGCAGGGACTCTTCTCATGGTGCAGTCACACCTCCTACGCCCTGTGGTGACAAGTTGGATTAATTCACCAGTCAGATAGATGGCCTTTCTGTAGTGGTAATTGATGTATTTCAAACACACGTCCCACACCTCAGGTAACCCACAGTCCTCTAAAAGTACTGGTACTTAATTGTAAGACTCCATATACAGCACTTCTGGACAACATTGACAAAATCAATGGAAGGAAAGGACAGACAGGAGACAGGAGCTGGGATCTGGATCTGTTGCCCGGAAGCAGAAGGCAGATGAGGGGGAGACTTCAGTGAAAACTTACTTTTATATTTTCTGCATACACATATTGATGATTCAAAGGTTATGCGTATCAAAACTGATGCAAGGATCAGTCAAATATTGCTGATGGGTCTCGTCATTTGATTGTATGACAAAGGACACTTGCTGGAAGCTGTGTTAACGGGCCAGCCGAGCCTGGGTATAATCCATTCCTTGTTCCTTTTAACCACTCACGGAACAGAAACATTTTGGAGGCTGAAATGCTCAGACGAGTATTATTTCCCATAAACTCAACAGATAAAAGCATAGATACTAGCATTGTGTGACGTTCTAAAGTCACAGCAAAGTCTCTGAAGATTTTAATACACATACTAATTTTCCAGCCCGCTGTCTGAGCTCTGAACTATCTTTTCCCAGAAAGAATTCTCTCTAGTTCAGACTCCTTCCGTGTTACAGATGCAAAACGTTTAGGTAATATAAAAGAATTCCTTTAAGTTCAAAACCTTCTGCAGTTCTCACATGCCCTGTGATATATCCCCCAAACTTCCACTTAGTGCTGGTGGTCTTAGGCTTTGCTAGCTGCAACTGCAACCGCTTCTGAACACTGCAGAACATTAAGCTCTTAATGTTTATTTACTGCTTTGGTTAGTTTTTAGCCCTAAATCTGGAAACTCTTCATTACTGCTTTGCAAAGTGTTGAAAGGTAACCGGTCAGAATATTTAAAATCTCGATGTTAAACGTACCCCAGGTTGATGCGCTCCACGTTTGGAGGGATGTGCGGTGGGATGGCTGTGAAGTACCGGAATGTGCAGTGCACCTCGGTGGGCACATAGCAGGCGCAGAGCCTGGGACAGGCGATGCTGCCGGGGAGGGTGGCCAGGCAGAGAGCGAGGAGGGTCCCCAGCCACCGGGGTCTGCCTCCGCGGATTGCCTTCATCCTGCAGGAAAATACTACGCTACCGCCCTTCACAGCAAAAGCGAACGGGCAGATTCCTACAAGGAAAATAAAACACGCAGGCATTTATAGTGACATCCGTGCCGAGTTGCTCAGTTTTAAGCTGTGAGAACAAGAACAACTTTGTAACTGGAAAGAAAAACCAACCCGCAAACCAGACCCAAACCTCTTGGTTTTCCCCTCAGTACTTGTATCTGTGTAACGTTCAAAAATGTTTGTCATTTTAAAGAAACAGCCCCACAACTTCTTGGTCTTAGTGCGATGCGCCCCGAGTTGTTGCTTACAGGTAAAGTTTTAATTTCTGAAGGAAGCAAACGTGGAAACTGTCGTCTTTGGCCACCGTTACACCGCGACTCCGGTTATGTGGAGCGACTATAAATCTGCTAGCAATTTATCCTCGGGAAGGAACACGTCAGCTCCTTCCTTGCCAGTAATTAACCCAAGCAAAATTAACTAATTTCAAAGCCCGCGCGCCGAGCCGCCCCGCGGTCCATCCC